CTCTCTTTAGAATGGGATCTTGAAGATGTCTCCAGTTCAGAGCACTCACTTTAGTACAGTATGTCCAATTCCAATGCCTACAGTTATTCTCCAAGATGAAAACAGACTTAAAATCATACAGCTGAAAGGGAGACCAAGAGTCATCTAGTCCAAGCCCCTGCATGAACAAAAGCTGCTTTATTTCTTAACCATTCTTGTCACATGCTTATCCAGCCTCTTCTCAGAAACTGCAATTGAAGAGTCTACAGCTTCCCTGAGTAGCCTGTCCAACTGTTCTACTGATTTTAGATTAAGCACCCCCACTTCCAAAATTAAATCCAAGTCATCTTTGCCACAGTTTAAATCCATTGCTTCATGCTCTGCCACCTGCAGCAAAGGGGAAAAGTTGTTTTTCCACTCCTTTAAGAAAGCCTTTCCAACACTTGAAAACTGCTATTAGATTTCCCCATTATCTCTTTTTTTCTAGTTCTCTCAGCCTTTCCTTGCATGGCTTGGATTCCAACCCCTTTATCATCTTTGTTGCTCATTACTGAATTCTCTCCAGTTTCTCTACATCTTTCCCAAAACAGTGAGCTGGACACAATATTCCAGCTAAGATCTAACCAGAACTGAGTAATGATACTATTGTCTCATGCATCTTACATACTGATAATGATAGCCCCAAATTGCACTGGCTTTCTTTTTCTTTTCTTTATTTTGACACCACTTCACATTGCTCACTCATGTAGCCTGTGATCCACCAAAACCCCAAATCACCAATGCTGCTGCCTTACTAGTTACCTCCCATTCTGAATTTGTGCATTTGTTTTTTCTTTCCGTTGTCTCAACTCGCACATCTTTGTTCAATTTCATTTTGGCAGCTATAGCCCAGTTCTCGTTTTCAAGACCCTTTTGAGTTCTAACCTTGGCTTCTAAAGGAATCATAACCCCAACTAGTTTTGTGCCACCTACAAACTTGATCAGGAAGCTGTCTACCCCTGCATCCAAGTCATTAATAAAGATGTCAAACAGCACGAGACAGTGGAATTCAACTTGAGACCTCCTATCATTCCAACATTGATCCATGTATACCTCTTTGCTTGCCATCATTCAGCTAACTATGCATCAACCTAGCAACAAATCTATCTAGCCACAATTTCTTCAGTTAACTTAGAAGAATGTCATGTGGGACTATATCAAAAGCCTTACTGAAGTCCAAGTATATAATAATGTCCACTGCACTTCCTTGATCCACTGAACTGATCACACTGTCAAAAAGATAAAGTGCTTTGGAAATTATATGCTGATGATGATTATTGTAAGGGCAAATTGTAAATGCCCTTTCTCCTCCAGGCATTTACAATTTGATTGTTTTATCATTTGCTGCAGTAACTTCCCAAGTACTAAAGTCAGAGGCAGCTTGTGCACACTACAGGGGTTTACTTCAGTTTAATTCTCCCTAAACTGAAGTGGTGGTTTTTCAAAACCCTGCTTCAATTTAGGAAGAATTAAACTGATGTAAACTGCTGTGGCAAGTACACAAGGGTCGGGCCCAATCCTTACCTGCCTCTCTGCAGTGGTGGCGGCGTGGCGAGGTGCCAATGGGCTGAGCAGTCCCTGAGCTGCAGTGGGGGCAGTGCTTCCTCCCCAGTGGCACCAGCACCCCCCAGGCGGCACCCAGCCTGGGTGGTCCCAGGGGGCACTGCAGTCATGAAGGGGAGCACACACCCCTCCCCCCGCAGCTGCAGAAGGAAGCACCAGGTCCCCACACAGCTCAGGCAGGCTTCAGGAGGGGTGGGGGGGGACCCAAAAAACCCAAAAACTGGTGAGCCTGATTCCACGCCCCCCCACCCCAAAGCCTACACTGGCTGCCGCTGGGCTGCCTGCACAGCTCTTGAGCTGCATAGGGCCCAGTGTTTCCCTCCGTGGCTGTTGTACTTTGTTAGGCAGCAAGCTAAAACACCTCGGAGGTGTTTAAGTCATGTAATGCGCAATATGCCACTGACAGTGCAAACAGCAATGCCATTAAAGTGGTGCGAAAGGGCATTTAAGCCACTTTAAAAGCCAATTTTGTGGCATGTACAAAGGCCTAGAGCAACCGGTCTATATTCCCTGAGGTCCTCCTCTCATAAAACAAGTCCTATTTGTTCAGAAAAAAAAGTATTTTAGATAAAAAAACCCTTAATAATACAAATTTTATATGCATGCCCTGCTTACCAGGTGGCCACGTATCTTCTATATGAAGACCAGGGCCTTTCCCAGTCAGTTTCATACTTGTCCATTCTTGGATCAAATGCCTCCATTTCTCTCTCCCCCTGCCCCCTTACCTCCCCCCTCCCCAGCATTAAGGTTGTCAATTGATATAGTTTCAAGTCCTTTTATCTTGTTAGTCCATGAGTCAAGTCAAACCATCTATGCTCTATCCCCAGGAATGGAGACAGAGTGTGAAACTTAAACAAAAATAATTGCTACGTACATCATTGCAAGTGTCCTTTGCTGTATTAATTATACTATCCCCCTCCAGTATCTTTCCATCCTGCAGGAACCATTTCTAATCTTACCCACTAAGCCAGAAATACAATCATGAGTAAACGCATAAAAATGTAGACGTATAAATATTGATTCAACAGTCTTTGAGTGGTCTATAGCATTTGTCATATCAGGAGTTTTAAAATCTAATCTCTTTGTTACTATGCTTACCCTTCATATAAATTATTTCATTTCTTTTAGCTTGCAACAATGAAGATCAATTTAGTCAGCTTTACATTTGTCATACTGCAGTTCTGGGTTTATAACCTGAAGAAAAACTTGTGTAGGAAACATGTATAGAATAAACTAGAATAAAAAGTGTGGAAGGTCTTTACTAAAAGCTTGCATTTACAAAACCTACAATTAGAAGCAATTGTGCGCCCTTAGCAATTCTTGTTATAGTATTGCAAAAAATAGTTTCCACTCTCATATATAGCTATATTCCCAGGATTTTTCAATTTTGCCACACCTGCTATTGGACATGCTATGACTCAGAAACGCTGAATTGGAATCACCAGCATATCTTGATTTTCTCACTTTAGGCTTCTCTACACACACCTCATCTGAAATGCTCCTGTTCCTAAGAGTCTGGGGATCAGAGTACAGAATGTGCCAGTTCTGTGACTCTGCAGGCATCAGGCTCATTTTGAAAGAAAAAGGAAAGGACCAAAAGGACACACACAGTCTATGCCCCCGCCTTTGCCCCCAGAAACTGCCTAGTACCATAAATGGTATTAACCCAGGGGGCCCAACCTTTTCACCCCACAGGCTGGTTGGGCAATGCTAAGTCTTCCTGAAGACTGGATCCGGCTGGAGAGAAGCTATCAGAACACTGAATGAGTCAACTGACTTTTTGGATTGAAGTTTTAGAGTCACAGGTACACTCTGTCACTTTTTCACATTTGTATGAGGAAGTCTGATGCAAGGTAGATTCACACCCTCAAGAAATCCAAAGTCTTCACATAGGCCTTATACATGTAGCTCATCTTGCTTGAAGAGTTACTACATTAACAATGAAGCAAGATAGAAAAGGGCTTTTTTATCATCTTTACCTCGGAGTGAGAAGAGAGGAGATAAGGAAACCATGGTAACCATTTTAATCTACTTCAAATACTAAAGAACTTGCAGAACACCATTCATAATATTATATCTATCCTGTAAACAATACCAGGTCTCACACTGTAGTCCTCCTTTCCAAAACAGACCTCCATTTCACTATGACTATCCTTGGTTCCCAGATGTACAACTTTACATTTAGCTTCATTAACATCCATGATGCTTCTATTAAACCAGCTTACTGCAAGAGCCAGATTCATTTGTGAAACTGAGCAGGTCTCGTTATTTACTGTTCCAGCAAATTGTACTTCACTTATAGCTTTACCAGATCATTAATGAAGATATAAAATAACACTTCACCAAGGACAGATCCCTCTGAAACTCAACTAGAAGACTCTATTAAATAATGATTCCTGCACAGAATTTCTTGCAGAGATCCAGTACTTAGACAATGTTTAAATTGATCCCATATGGATTTTTTCGCTGCAATGTTTGCTTGCTTGCTTTCTTTCTTTCCAAAATCAGGCTTTTGGATAGAACCAAATAAAACACCCTTAAAGAAGTCTAAATGTCTGCAGGTGGTTTTATCAACCAAAACTGAGGTCTTAAAAATATATATTAGTTTGATAAGACCTGAACTCTGCATTTCTCACCCCCAAGCTACAGGTCTTTACATGAGGGCAACCCTTTCCTTTCCTTCCCTCATAAGACATGTGCCAACAATGTTTAACACTGTGCAAGAATGTTAAATAGAGATGCAAAAGGTTCACGCATAACATGATATGCAACATACTTGTTGGGTTCAGATTATCAGAGTGTGACCGTAGTGACTGAGGGCACTTATACATGTGCAGAGAGGCTGCTCCAGCACACTGCAAGTACAACACATTGGAGGAGACTTGATTAATCAAGTCTGCTGGAGCATGTTAATTACTGTGCTCCAGCAGATGCCAGCGTCACCCGTATATCAGCATCCCCCGGGCTGAAAAATGGTGACAGAAGCACTTTAACTAAAGCTGGTTTGACAACCTTTAGTTAAAGCATCCCCACCACCATTTTTCAGTGCAGGGACACTAATATACACGATGGTCTTGGCACATTAATTAAAGCAGCTCTCAAAGTCGCTCTAATTAAAGCGTTCCCCCTACCCCATCTTCCGCAGCACATCTATAAATGCCCTGAGTATCCATACTGGCATAAGCCAGTCTTTTAGAGGAGTGAGGCCTGAGATGATGTTTTAATGCAACTATTAATATTAACATATATATGACTGTAAACATCGATACCATGGATGACTAAGGTATTTGAAAGGTATTTTGTAGAGCTCCAGTTGATATCCAGTGGCTTGCACCAGAGGCTTCTCCATACAGTGGTTATTTAGTATGGTTCGTATTAAAGATATATCCAAGATGCTTTCCCATTTGATTTGAACTTACCAGAAACGGGTGCGATTTAGAGATGAATGAAGTATATCAGGCCAGTATTGTCTCATGTCTGGTAGAAGATCCTAGAAATAATAATAAAACCTTAAAAAGATTACTTCAAATCACAGCCTATCTACCTGTTTACTTCTTGGTAGAGTTGTGCCAGACAACCACAAAAACATGCTGTTAAGAGGCTGAAAGATTCTGTGCCTAGCCTTCTCCCCCAGTAGTTTGACCTGATTCAGTATGACACTTATGTTCAGTCTCCTATACTTAAAGGCTTGAAATTCTCACCTCTCCTCATAAGACATTTGACTAGTGAATAGATTCTTCTGTTCTTTGATTTGGAAGATCATAGGAAAGTAGGGCTGGAAGGGACTTCATGAAGTCGTTTAGCCCAGTCCCCTGCTCAAGGCATCATCTAAACTGATGATGTTAAACTATACCAGACCTAAGACAGACCCCTGGGAAACCCCACTTGATACTCTTCCTAATTAGATATTGAGGGATTGATGAACAGTCGTTGAGCACAATAATCCAACCAATTATGTATCTACCTTACAATACTTTCATCTAGTTTGTATTTCATTAGCTTAGTAGGAGACTGTAGTGTAAGATAGTGTCAAGCTTTGACAAAGTCAAGGTATATCACATCCACTGCTCTCCCCTCATCCACAGAGCCTGTTACTTTATCAAAAAAGGAAATCAATCTGATTAGGCATACACCACAGATCTCTCTCTTCAGCCATCCTTAATTTGCATCCTTTGCACCCATACTTGTGCACCTCACATACACCTCACAACTGCGAAAGGACAGGCAACAGACTCAACAGCTTTTTCTCCACTTCAGGGTTCCCCCAAAGAAAATGGCTTTGAAAGGATGAAACTTGATAGGAATACTGCTAATTGAAGCTACTGGGAAAAATGCAACTGCAGGTGGCCAGTGTCCTCTTATTCTCTGAGCCCGAGGCGTCTCAACTGAGGTACTCATTACACCTTCTTCTTCAGAGGGTGAAAGCACCTCAAAGCCTCTGTCCTTCCAGTTTTTGCTGGAAAAAGCCAGGATACAAATCAAGCCAGTGAGAACACCAGTGTGATCCGGGTGGTGGTGGATGGACAGGGGCTGTTGATCTTCACCAGCACAGCAGACTTCAAAAAGTAGATCTTAGACTAGGAATTTGAACAATGTTAGAATAGGAATTCTAAAAATAATGTCTAGCTCAGATGACAGACTATATCAAAAGCGATATTATATGAGCATCTCAAAAGGTAATTTCATCCAACCCCACTCAATATTCACATTTTAATTTAAATACCTCAATCTCATTCACATTGAAGTGCCATGTTCTGTTACAGTCTTCTCCTTTATCTGGCCTAGGAAAGAAATTAATGAAAATAAATTTTAAAAAACCCTACTACAAAGCAGTGGGTGGAAAAAGTCATGTCACAAGATACTTCAAAGTTACAAGATGATACCATGGAAATCTAACTTTAAAAATGCAATAAACCAATGTCACTTTCCACAAAATTTTAAGGAACAGAAATGAGCTAGTATTCATTACAAATGTATTTTGAGTCAAATTTTATCAGCCCAGGGGTCCTGTGTTACCCTTTTACCTGACTTAAGGTGCTTGTACATGTGACGGGAGTTTCAACCTTAGGGTTGCATTCTATGCTTTCTAAATTGAAGCAATGAGTTTTTTATTGAAACCTCACTGTTCCAATTTCCATTACTGTATATACGTGATTGTCCTGCTGAAGGCAGAAGCGGAGAGGGGCCCAATCCTTTTTTTTTTTTTTTTGGCGAAGCACTCCCGTGGCTAGGAGGCCATTAATTTGTGCCATTAATCTTTCAGCTCGCCCCCTGGTCATAGGAGCAACAGACAGGCTGTGCTGGAAGGATTAGCCCACTTGCCACTTCTACCATCACCACCTTCAGCAGCATCCTACGGCTGGTAGGACACCTAAGGCTGCCTGGTAATGGGCCAGCTTGCCCCTGAGGCAGTGCGGAAAGGAGGCAGGAGGGCAGCTGGGTTGGCTGGTGGCCAGAGAAGGCAACAGGGATGCTGCACAGGGCACCAGAAGCCCAAGTGGGCTTCTAGTGGGCTGGGTCCTGCTCCAGCTTGGAGGTGCCCGATTCAGTGCTTCCCCGAGCCTGCCTAGGCTTCCAATGTCTTTTGCACCATCCCCGTCGCTATCTCCAGTCACCAGCACACCCAGTTTGTGCCTGGAGCAGCACAAGGAGGCGGCTGGGTGTGCTGGTGGCTGGAGAAGGCAGTGGGGAAGGTGCACAGGGTGCTGGAAGCCCAGGCAGGATCAGGGAATCAATGGATCAGACACCTCCAAGCTGGGCAGCACCCGGCCAGCTAGCAGCCTGCCCAGGCTTCCAGCACTTCATGAACTGTCCCCACTGCCTTCTCTGGCCTCCAGCAAACCCAGCCGCCTGCCTGCCGCCTTCCTGCGCTACCCCATGGTCAAGCTCGCCTAGTCCCAGGTGGCCCCAGGCATCCTGCTGGCTCCAGGAACCTACTGAAGGCAGAAGCAGCGAGGGGCCTGGTTCTTTTCCCCCCCCATGGAGCCTGCCCACCTCTCCCACAGCTGGGGGCGAGATGACTAATGCCTGCAATGTGCCAAATTACATTGTTGCAGACTAAACCACATTGGGATGTAGTTTAGCTTGCAACCATGCAAACTCATTTAAAACCCACAAAACTCAGGTACATGTAATGTGTGATGATGCCACTAAGCCACACAAAGGGAATTTTTTGTCATGTGTACATTGTGACATTGTCAAGTGTACAAGCACCCTTAAGCCCTGCAAAAAGAACTTATGGCATGAGAAGGAAATAAAGCATTAGTGATGGCTTTGGCAGGGCAGATTTGTACCTTATAAACCAACTAAATAAGAGATGCAAAAGCATTTATAAGTAGTGGCTTGTTTCATCAGGTGTGTGTCACCAGTCAAATCAATTTCACCCTAACCAAGTCACTTAGCATGAGAGTAGGACTGGGAAACAGTAAGCAAACGTCTTTGAGTTCTAACTGTAATGCTGTTCGCAGTTTTTACATAATTTCCCAACCTCTTGTATTGTTTCTTCCGAGCTCTTATCTTTATGAATTATTTCATGCCTCTACTGTTCATACACAGTATAATCAGTTGTTTTCTTTTAGAGATGTTTTCCCCGAGTTTCTATGAATTTTTGTACCATGTTTAGACTCAAGGCCATAGTCAGTTTTGAGACATTAACAAATACTGTGCACCCAAAACAGCAAGGAAGCTTAACTTCCTCAGTAAGTTTGGAGAGAGAGCTATAAAGAGCTTGTTCTGCACTGACCTGCAGGGATCCTGGTTTTCTGATAAAAAAAAAAAATCCCCAATTTTCAGGTTAAAAAGAGTAACCCGAAATCCACATTTTTCCGTGATTAAAATGAAATGCCACTAATTGATAGAGATGTATTAATGGCGTTTCATTTTGATTATGGAAAGACATGAATTTTGGTTTATCTTTTTTAACCTGAAAATTGGGGATTTTTTTTTAAACCAGAGAAAACCAGGATTCCTGGTGATCTATAACTCACATCACATGTGAGATCATGCATTTGTGTCCACACACTGCTGACCTATTTCTCTCTGGTAGAGCAGGATTCTTATACTGCGATATACCACACAATAAAGAGACAGAGTGGATGAAATATTATATATATATATTTCTTACTGAAATATTTAATCTTATACTCTTGGGGGTTCCAGTAAGATAACAGATTTGACCTGATCCCAGATAGACAAATTCATGCATAAATACAATTCAACCCTGAAAACTCACTATGAGAAACAGCATCTTTTCCCCAGCCAGACCTAACTCATGATCTGTATTTTAGATCAGATGAGTAGACACAAAATAAAAGGTTTTTATCATTACACCTGGTAAATCTTGCAGAATCAACACAGGTATGAGAGAATGATCTAACAATTCAGATGTACCAGATTCCTTTTAAAGGCAACAAAGGAATGTAATGGCTTCACCAAGAACTTAATTTGAAGAACTTGAAATGTAAATGTGCATGTGTCACAGAAAACCTAACAAGACCTTTAATGCTGGAGGAGGAGAGCTCCCCATCTTGGACTACCAGGGTTCAAATCTCCTTTGTATTCAATTTACAGTTGTGTAACACCAGTGACTTCAGTTGAGTTGCTTCTGATTTTAATTAGCACACAACAAAGCCTTCAAAGCCCAGGGTGAATTTGCATGACTGAGTCTTGTCAGACAACACCATTCAATTAGTGGGTTTTTTTTTTTTATTGCATTTGCTTTTTACATTACAACTGCACTTAGAATTTGGAGTTTCCATGGGCAAGATGGAAAAGAGAAAACACCTTAAATTAGTCTGAACTATTTTATAAACCATAGCTTATTAAAAATCCTACTGAAAGCATTTCTATAAAGCTACAATTAGAGTCAGCACTTTGTGGAGAGACACAAGAAACCTTGGTATTGCAATATAAGTTATGGGGCAAATCTGCAGTGAAAGTAGAAATGAAACTTCAGGGCCGCTGTGCTACATACAAAGCTGATGACATTTTTAGTTGGATTCTTAATTCTATTTGAGAGCCTTTTACAGTTGACTGAATCAATATAATTGCCAAGCGTCTTTGTGGAATATATTAGAACGATCATTTTCAAAGTGCTGGCTAGAATCAAATCACTAACCCTTCTAAAACCTCCTCATCCCCACTGGACAGTTTTCAAAAGGGTCATTTGACTCAGAGATATTGAGGAAACCAATGCCAGACCTGGGATTTATATTCACTCCAGCTTCTAGTCTCATGCTCTAGTCACTAGTGCATGGGGTAGCCTTCTGCCCTACTGAGGTCAGAGTTTTGCAACCGACTTCAGTAAGACCAGGGTTTTGCCCCGTGTCTCTTTTAAACTAAAAATCCTTTAGCATGGAAATATTATCATGATCGTTATTTACAGGAATGTAGACTGCATTTACATGGGTACAAATCAACTGACTTTGGGCCTAAGAGACTGAATCTTCTTTCACTTACTCTTACATTGTAGTGACATCATTAATGGAGTTACTTCTGATTCACCCATCCAAGCATGACCAGTTCTTAACCATGAAGTCAATTAAACTGTACCCACTGACATCAGCATGAAATTTAGTCGAACATGACATTCTTACCCAGTTTGAAAGAAAAAAGATAGTTGTTTTAAGTGTTTACCATAATCCATGGATTGTCCAGTACTGTGGGGGATCATCACAGTCATTCATATTCATCTGAGGAAAACAAGAATCCAAAATATTTGCCAGATATATTTAGTCAGAAGTCAAATGAGTTAATTGGATGTCATGCCAAGGGTAAACAAAAACATTCTAAATACACAGCACAAATGTATTAAGGAGGAAAGGCCAGATTCTCAGCTGGTGTAAATCAGGGTAGCTCTATTCAGTTAAAATCAAGTCACAAATTTTTACACCTCATGAGAATCTAGCCTGCAGTTCCCAGTAGTTTCCCACTTAGGCGATCAGCAGACCTTTCCCATGAGGTAAGAGTTGTCAAAATAAGAGAGAACTTAATTCTGTGAGATGCCATCAGCACTGTTAGTTAATCCAACAACAGTTCGTACGTGTCAATGGGCAATGCTAGTATTGTGTTACAAAAGAAAGAGGTAGAAACATATGCTGAAGACTGCAGTACCATATAGGCTGCCTAATCCAAGTTGACATTCAGTCTATACCTCCTATAATGTTTAACAGAGAGAACCACACCAGCATTCATAACCCAAATAATTATCTGTCCAAAATACTAGTCACTGTCCACTAATAAGTGGACAGTGCAACAGATGAAGAAACTCTCCATGAGCTCAGTTAATATTTTGGATGCCAATCTTGCAAACCCTTCTTGATACAAGTAGTTCCATTTTTTTCATTTAACTGTGTACGGCATGTTTTAGGATTATGGCATGTTTTAACCCTCTCCAAAATGGTAGTTCAAACCCTTGATCACAGAAGGAAAAGCATAATGTTCTATGCATACATATGGATTGTAGCATAGATTGCATGCTCCTGGTCACTAATCAAATTCAGTGCTCACACACCAAAATGTTCTTTTTGTACTTTCCCTATGATGCTTGACAGATGAACATCAAATAGCTTAATGCAAAAAAAAAAAAAAAAAATTACGCATCTAAAACTCGCTTTCTTTTTAATCTCCATGTTCCACTGCCTGCCTTAATTACGGTGCGATGCACTGTGTCAAGCTTCTGTTCAGATACTGCAGAAGAGCAGAAAAACATGAGGACCCTAAATTAATTGCCTAGGCTACCATAGCTGTATGGTGTACATAAAAGCTGGAAGTTATATGAATCTCTCCTGTTTTCTACCACTTTGCGCCCTTTCTGCTCTTACCACCTACATAGTCCAGTGAACAGAAAACAATTAAACCCAGTGTCAGTTTATTCCTGACAGAAATTTACCTAAACACTGCAAAGACAAACAAAATTGTTCATGAAAGACAAGATTTACAAAATCAAAAACTCTTCAGATGGCCAAGCCAAAAAATAGTCAGTTATAACTAACCAGGAAATAGCATCTTCCCTTGAGTTACAGTTAACTAGCTCAGGGTATTTCTCCACTGAAGAGTTAACTTAGGGATGGGCAATTATTTGAGCCCATGGGCCACATAGGGAGTTCTGGTTCAGCCCCCCACCCTACTCCTGCAACAGCTCACCAAAACTCCCTAAGTGGTTCTGCTCCCCTGGCAGCCAGGATGTGAACATGGACAGACGGGGAGCAGCATTCAGGAGCAAGATGGGCAGGTGGGGCAGGGAAGACCCTGGGATCTTGAGGTGGTGACAGCATGGGGCCAGGGCCCAGGGAAGGCGCACAATCCATTGCACACATGTCCCTGCAATGGATGCTGGTTCCATAGGCAGGGGCATGGAGGGAGCAGACCACAGCTCTGGCCTGGACCCACACTGTTACCACCCCATGATCCTGGGGTCTCCATGGAGACTGCCTGGGACCCAAGTGGGCAGGGTGCATGACCAGGTGGATAGGATGGGGCCACAAGTGGGCAGGGAGCGGCCTCTGGGGCCAGGCCCTGAAGCACGGGGTGGTGACAGCATGGGCTGGGGCACAGCTGCAATCCACTCCCCACCTACCCTTGCCTGCAGAACCCACGTACACGCATCAGAAACTCAATCTACCTTGCAGTATTATCAACCATATTTTGCCATCTTCAAATTACTAGTGATGTTGCACAATGTTGCTTTCCAAAATTAATTTCAAATCAGCACTATCAAGGTAGTCAAACACACATTTAGCAAAGTGGATCACTGTCAGATTCACTAAATCTTGATCAACGAGGAACAAATTCACCTTTATGATATACACGGGCAGTTCCTTTTGACATGAAAAGGGGGTGCAAATGTGTGTCTCGAGGCAGACATTGGCTTAAAATGTAGTTTGTAGTTAGCTAAATTTAAGGAGGATCTGGCTTGCCTATTTTTAAAACTGTTTATCAATAAAATCATACAGTTCAGATCCAATTTGGTCTAAAAATAACATAATTCCTACCATACCAGTGAAAATGAAATGCCAGTACAAGCCACTGAAGGATCCTTACAGTACCGTTCCTCTTGAAAGGCAGAATACTCTATTGTTAAAACACCATTCTAGGACTAAATCTACTACAGATACAGCAATGTCTTAGTTTCTCTCATCCTCAGTCCTGTCTGTAAAATGCAGGATATAGTATTACCCTGTCTCAGGGACACACTTGCTGCTTTACAGACGTGAAAAAACTCATAGCTCTAATTTAAACTCATAGCACCCCTGCACCAAGCGCAACACATGCCCATAAGAAGCATTGAGTTAGTTTGACCTGGCTCACCCAACGTCTCTATAGATCAGGTGTTTCAACAGGACTTTTTGGCAATTTTATCTAATAGCTGAATGGGATGGGAAGGGATTGGGGGGGGGTAAATCAAGGTCCGCCCCCCCCATGGTGAGGGAGGGAATGGGGCTAGGGCAGGGACAGGGGCTGCCCAGCCGGGGCAGGGCAGAGCACAGGACGGAGCTGCAGGCAGCTTATCTGGAGGCACAGAGAGGGGGGCAGCTCCTGATGCTACACACACCCCTGGGGAAGGCATGGGGGGCAGGGCTACGGCAGGTTACCCGTTGTGGGCTCGGGGCCAGGGGCTGCACTGGCCTCTTCATGGCAGGGGAACTGGGCCAGGGCAGGTGGCAGCAGTGCTGGGACCAGGTCTATAGGGGGGGCTATCATGAATTTTGGAGTGGCTGTAGCCTCCCCATAGCCCTCCCTCCCGACACCGCCACTGCCCGTCCTGAACACAGCTCAAGCCCAGCCCTCCCCTAACCAGGAAGAGGCGCCAGTGGGTAGCCTACCCTCACTCTACGCATGAATCTAGGGGGCACATACCCCCCATTACTCCCTGAGAGTACGCACAGCACAGGGAACTCCCCCTACCACCCCTCGCAGCCCCTGTATGAGCCGCCTGAAGCTCCTTCCCATGCCCTGCCTTGGCTAGGCAGCACCTGCCCTGCCTCATTCCCTCCCTCACTGTGGGGGCCTTGATCTGCCCCCCGCCTCCCACATGCCCTTTTCCACCCACAGACTTACCTATTGGATGCTGCTCTCCAAGCCACTGGGCTGCATATCAGCAATCAGATAGGTATTGGCCAACATGGCTGGTTAATAATCAGCCATCGGTATCGGTCCAAAAAAATCTTTAGCGGTACACCCCTACTGACAAATGGGTCCTCCTTCTCTTAGGTTTACCACATTCCCAAAGAACAGCAGAAATGCTCCAAACTTGCCATCAAAATGGGACAGTTCTCCAGAAATAATTAGCTATACTAACAGTGAGCAATACTTAAAATAGACATTCTAGCTTCATATTCTCCATGAATTAAAAAGTTCAATGATAAAAGCCTCCCTTTTCCTTCATCTTCACTTTGCTCCAAATGAGAATATCCATCTTTAAATATTATAAAGCCCTGTAACTTTTAGTTGAATTAGGATGCCTTCTTTGTGGGAAAGAATATTTCTTTCCTCTATGGAATTTAATTGAACAAATCCTATGTCCCATTTAATTGAAGAACTCAAACAACATATAGAGCCATAATGAACCCTTCTGATCTTAACCTATCAATACAGATCCTAAACTTGTCCTCTCTAATTTAATCAAGTAAAGGTGAGTTCATACTCAAAAGGTTACCACACAATGTATTAAAACACGCAAGTAAATAATAGTGTGTTTCTAGCATTTTGCACTCTCTTTGGTGACACAAAAGGAAATCTGACATGGCATTTATTCTGAAAACCCTTGAATAAAAATTCTGTTTCTACACATCTTTTCTACACATATAATTACCCACAAGAGACAAGAATTAAGATGAAGGTCACCCACTTCTGCACCCAGAGTTCAACCCACCTTAAAGAATCCTGAGTAAAACAGAATTCCTCTCTCTCTCTCACACGTACACAATGTCAAAACATGTAAACAATGAATATCACATCAAAGCACTATGCAGGTACGAATAATAGAACATACTTTGAGGTTTCCTTCATTACCTTTAAGTCATTGAGTAGTTTTAGAAGGCAAGTTAGTAATGATATTTTCTTCCTTAAAGCAACATGGAAAAGGTAAGAAAAAGACAGAAGAAACAGATTTTCTTGCATGTTGGAAGATAGTGTACTTAAAAATACAGCTGATATCTAGAAATACAGATCCAGAATTCGTTGAATTATCAACAAAAAGCTATCAGTAAGTTTTGAAGACACGGAAGATGGTACTGAAATTAAGATTCTTTTAACCACTCACTGCACTGAAATTCTGTAAGGAAATCTCCTAACACAATTCTTGATTCAGTGTTCAAACACATCTGTAATATTTCAGTGTTCACACACATCTGTAACCATCTTGATTCCTCTCACCCCCATGGGACATGGGCAACCAGTGTAGACGTGTGCTAATAAAAATATGTATTTGTGCATTTGATTTTTCCTCCTTTTTGCTCCAGCACACTGAGGCAGCGTGTTGGGGCAGCAGGGCCACGGAGCAGCTATTGAGATATCCTGGCGGGTGCTAAAGCATCACTATGAAGGACCCAGCCTCCGGTTGCTTCAGTGGGCCTTCCTGCACCACGTTTTTTCTGTGGGGTTTTTTTTTTTTTTTTGATACCGGGATTTCCCGGTATCAATTTTGGAGTTCATACTGGAAATATGCAGCGCGGGAAACATTTTTTCATTCTAAGCATGCCTCTTGCCATGTCTCAAACTGCTCAAACTCTTTATTGATGGACACTACATTAGCCTTCTTCCAGTTTTCTGGAACCTCACCTGACTTCCACCAGTTCTCAAGCATCAAAACCAACAGCTCGGGAATTAAATCATAGAACTGAGTGTTCCAGGGACTCATGAACACCATCAGTGTGGCACATGCTGGCCCCAGAGAAATGCACACAAGCATCCTTGCTGGTGAACTTCTGGTTTGAATCAGTCTGAGAGCATGGAGTGGTCTTGGACCTGTTGTGGCTGGAATATGCCAACATCTCAGTGTAAACAAACACAAGGACAGCCCACATTAGGCTCAGATGATATGAAAAAAACATCTAGCTTACATAAGTTCTTTAATATGGAATCAATGCTGAGTTCCTATGCTATCCCGGATACTACCTTTGCTTGTTATTTACAGTTGATTTTTTTATTTTGGAAAAAATTGAAGTAAAGTCATTGAATATTTCAGTCTCCTCCCACATAATCTGTCATTAGCTTTTCCTGAATCAGCAAGGGTCAGATTTTTTACTTGCTCTTCCTCCCACTTCTAACACATTTTATATAAGGCTGTTTTGGTACCATTTTCATGTTCTTTGCCAGCCATGTATTGCTTTATGCCTTGGCCTTGCCTTGCTGACTTTCTCCCTATGTTTGTATGAACTCTTAATCTCACCTGTAGCAACACAGCCAAGTGCCTCTGTTTTGCACAATTCCTTTTTTGCATCTAGTTTGTCACTTATCCACTTAAGAAAATGTTTGTCAGGACACTGTTTTGGGATTGCTTTAGTCCAAGTGCCCAGCCTGACACCGGATATTCATAAGTGATGTCCACCAACAACTGCAATTTAAATCCGTACAACCTACGAGGACCAGCACACTGATATAAGCTAAAATGCTTTAAGGTGAGCACTCAGAGTCAAAGGTCATCTCCAACTCCACACTTTATAATACTGTGGAGTACAGCTCTTACTTCACTTACAATGGTTTAGTATTATATTTACTTGCATTACACTATTGCTACTTTTCTTCCTCTTTGATTCTTGCATCAGGATTGAGAAGCCTAAAAGGCTGCCCATAAACAAGAAAGCACATTTGAAAAGCTATAGTTACACAGCTATAAATATAAGCATCTCAAACAGGTTCTTTCTGTTGCAAATATATAGCAGAGGTAGCTGCCCTAAGCCCAGTCTTCTTTATTAACCACAGGGTCATATAACCCTGCCTCACCAATCTGATGAAAATGTCAAACTTAAGTGTCTTTTGAAATCTGTAATTAAAAAAAAACCAAAAAACCTTTGGTTTGTCTCATACCTACATATTTACCCACTCACCCACAAAGGGCACATCCCCATAAGTGCACACGTGAGTTTCCCTGGAGACAATGAGCAGCAGCACGTAACACCGTGTGCTGCTATTGTCCCTAGGGAATGCCCCAGGCCCCGCCCTGGCAAATGGTGAGTGGGGTAGGGGAGGCTGGGCCCAACCTGAGCTGGCCCCAGAAGCCTTAGCGAGGGTCCTAGGGGCCTCCTGGGGCTGCAGTGGCAGCAGTCCAGGCATGTGGAGCCTGGCCATCAGCCAAAGCATGGCTCTTGCCAGCCAAGCTCTGGTTTCAGGCACTGCATGCTTTAGCCATGTGCACCACCTTGCCTTTTTTTTTTAAAGCCTTTTAAGACACCAGGATTTCCTGATATCTAAGTTTTGGCTTTGTGCTAAAAGTTTGCAGCACAGAGAAACTTTTCACATATGCTGTATGCGTTTTGCAGTGCCTAAAAAGCCTTTGAGGCTCCACAAAGTGCACACTCCAGCTCATCTAGATGCACTGAAACATTTTAATTCACAGGAATTGGGTTATGCACCTGCATAAGAGACAAAGGAATGTACATATCTTTGCTGACTACTTGCCAGATGTAGCTGGAAAAAAAAAAAAAAAAAAAAAAAAAAAAAAAATCAGTGATCTGATGGCTGGCAGTACTCCAGGGTTACTACCAAAATATCCCTGTGTTAGCTGCTGATTTTTTCTCTCAGTTGAATCTATATTTAATGGCTCAGCATCAAGATTCTGGAGCCAGGTTTGCAAAACTGTATCAAAATGATAGACAGTTATTTAGATCAGGGGGTCAGCAGTTGTTTTTGGCCAAGTGCCAAAAACACCCTCAAGCTCAACTTGTAAGATGTTGGTGTGTGAGAGGCAGATGGTGGACAAGCTGTGAAGCACGATCGTTGTTGTGGTAGCACAGCTCCAGCCCCTTCCCTGCTGTCTGACCAGAGGCATGCATGCACCTGCCACCAGCAGCGAGCCAGGCTGGGGTTCCGCAGACCCGAGTATAGAGGCTTACAGCCTCTTGGAAGGGGCTGGGGCTGCACGGCCACAAAAAGGATTGCACCCTTTGTGGCTTCCTCGCTGTCCACCCCGACACACACTTACCAAGCAATATGCCTGTGCATACCATGCTCTGGTACGTGTGCCAGGGGTTGCCTACCCCTGATTTAGATCAATTGGCTTCAGTGAGACCATTCATGTAAGTAACTGCTCATAAATTTAAATAAGTTTCAGCCTGAATCTTACACTGTGAGGCAGGACTGCCTATTACAGACATAATATTGTATGTGCAACATTCTTTAATGAAGCTCTAGATCTAGTGAGACCTGTCAAGCGACCAACATTAACCAATATCTTTATTAAGTGAGTACTACAAGGCAACTAAAATGAAACAGGTAATTGACTCTGCTACGATAACATGTTCCTCTTATTTTCAGATATATACTGCATTATATACTCAACTTCACGTATAATTATGAATCCTACTCCCCTCCCTCACCTTGCATACGGTCACTGGCCAATGATGAACAAGGATCAACTTGTCCCAAGTATGTGGGTGGCAGTCACTGGAAAATAAGATGACATATTTATTTTCCTTTGAAATAAAAATACTTTAAGTAATTCAATACATGAATTTTAATTGGTTTTTATGTAACTCTTTCTATTGGAACAGAGCCAAAGGACCCCAAACAGACGGTAGTCCCACTGTAATAAGCTGTGCACAAAAAAAAGTTTTGATCATTTCTAATGTTTCCCTATTGCTAACAAACATTCTGCTACAGCAGCCACTCTCTCTACACATTTTCTTTGTCTATATAACTACATGTTTTTAGACAAGCACCATCTTACCTTTGATAGCAATAAGAAAAAAATCCAGGATAAAGTTCTCCTAAAGTTGCTTTAAGTGTATAATTCAAAAAAGGGTGTATAGTGTTCTTGAAATTTCAAGTGCTCTCCTAAAATAAGTATTGTGATCCAGCAGGAGCTGTGCAAATGGGAGTGTAATGCAACCAAACAACAGATCTGACCTGGTGACCAACCCCAGGACTCAGAGAATGACAACTACTCTTCAAGGCTTACAATTTAGGTGAAAATGAGGAAAGACAAAAAACAAGGGGAGAAAGACAACTAGATAGCTTCAGATGATAGCAGCAAAAAGCATTAAGAAAAGAGGGCTGTCATGAGTAGGTTACTTATTAAAATGCAGGTGAAATCCTTGCAAAATCCAGTTTGCTCAAGCCAACAAAATGACTACAGAATTGACAGCATAAATCACTATTCACAACAGCTAATTTGTTGTGCATTCTTTGTTAGTGAATGGAAAAAAAGCTAAGGGAATTAACTCCTTGAGAAGTTTAATTTTTGCTTCAAATAGGAAAAACAAGCACATGCAGGTATATTTGTGATGTGAGGTGTCATGAAGTTAACTCATTCTGAAACCATCTTTAGGTTTTGTTTTTTCCAGTATTAGTTAGCCACATTTTACCTGCTAAAACAGTCATGGGGTTGGGGGAGGGAGCACATGTGCACACACATGTATGTTCATGTTTTGTTTTATTTCATACTCAGACATCTGTGGAACAAGTCAGACATAGTCACAAGAAAAATATTAACGTTTCTCCTGCTCAGATTTCTAACTGCTTGTGTATTACACTTGTTCTTCATTATCTGATCCTGTGCAACATTTGAGATAGCTCCTTGTGCTAGGCAAGTCCTAAGCATAAAAAGAAGAGCAAAAGACTCTCTCTCTGGACTTAAAATTGCAGAAGTTTCACCACCAAAGTCATTGTTACAAAACTGAAGGTTATTTCTTCACATGCTTCCCTTAGAGACCAAAGCAAACTTTATTAACCATGGTCCTAAGACTGCTCACATGTATTCCCCGTCAGTGCAATTACTAGAATTTGAAATCATTAATTAAAACATTTAACCATCTGGTCTCACAGACGTGTCAACCCTCCCTTTCAATTCGAAAACTTAACCAACATGAACCCACCCAGTGCTATTTTCCATGGATACGTGTACTTGTAAAGCTTGTAGTGTGCTACTTTGCACTGGATAAAGGAATGATAGCCAGAAATTCAATTTCTGCATTTAAGTGCTACTGTGAGAACCATTCATAGACTTCATAGACATTAGGGCTCTGTGGTCAAACTAAAAGGGAATTTACTGGGAAGTTGAGAAGTAGATATTCAAAAAACACAGAAGACATATAAGCATTCATCTTCCATTCATTTTCCATGTGATAGACACTTAACTACCACTAATGCATCTTAAAAGTCCTGTTCCCTTCTCCCCAGGCCCAAATACATATTGGCATTATACATATACTAGCCAATTGCCCATCAAAAATGATGGGGGGCAGGAGAGTGGGCAGGGACTGAGCCCCATGCCCCCCCAGCCGAGCCCACTCCCCCTTTACCTCCTGCTGCTTGGGGAGAAGCTGGCCTGCCACAGCTGGGGGAGCAGCGAGTCTGGGCCAACCCAGTGGTGGTGGGGGAACAGGAGAAGCAGGCTTCGGGCCCTTGCAGAGGGGGGAGGGCGAAGAGTAGGCCCGGGCCCAAGTGGAGGAGAAGACTTGCTCGTCCCCACCCCCAGCTACTATCACACTGGGCTGGGCCCACCGCTCCCCCTGACTGCTGTGGTGGGCCTGCTTCCCCCCCGGCTCGGACTCAGTTGTCTTCCCCTCCTCGTCAGGCCTGGGACCATTCCTCCCCTCCCCCC